AGGTTTGCCTGCTGTGTCTAAAAGTAGCAGCAGCAGCAACCCAGACTCACAGCAGCTCATTGGTTAATTTTACGTGCAGCCTGGAGCCAAACGCTCTGGAGCACTTTACCGTATTAACAGAAGAAGCAGCGCAAATGAAGTTAGACACTGTCATTGGATTAAGTGCGGTAATTTATAAATGCTTTAAATCAGGTTGGGTCAGGATTAGCCAGCAGGTGGGTCCTGATCCAGACCCTGGTCCGCTAACCCGTGACCTCTGCTTCAGAGAAATACAAACTCTTTAAATATGTTGAGTTTTTCCTGAACAGTGTCATTGCATGTTTTATTTATTGTAATGTGTTTTTTGTCCCTCTTTACTATACCTGAAAGAAATATTCTAAACTTTTAAATCCAAAAACATTTTCTGAAGCCGGGCTCACGCTGTTTATGCTGGTTTCGGTCCTGATCCAGTGCAGGATTCACACTGCTGCTGGGCCAGCCTGGCCCGCCTGCGGCTCCAGCTGTGGAAACAGAGCTGCGGAGGAAGGAAGTCCACAAGTGTTTGCATTCTTTCCAGGAGTTTTAGGGGAAAACTCGTTATCAGAGTCCATAAATGTCCTTTTTTATATAGTCTATGTTGGTGGGTTGATTTTATTCTGGAATCTATTTAACCCTTTCCTGTCTGTGGGACTTTCACTTGTGGAATTCAGGAGCTTGCTCTTGATCTGACGTCCAGAAAAACATCCTTCTTGTGTTCCGATGAGCCATGCGGCCTCTGTAACTGCACTGATTTGAATGATTTGGTTTCCTTGCGACACCCAGTGTGAGGCTGGCATAATGACGCTCTTTCTTTAAAAAAGCAAACATGAATCTGAACATTTGTGTCCCATCATACAGATCAGCTGGGAAATATCGTCAGAATAAAAAGGAGTACCCTGAATCAGACACCTGTTCTCCATTAATTGCACACCTGATTTCAGAACCAACCAGAATATCTCCAACAGATCCAGAAATCACCACCTCTTTGATGTGCTCTGAGCTCATGGAGAAGCAGAGTGACCTGCAGAGCTCAGTGTGAGGTAGGAGACCAGCCGACTGCAGCTGGACTCTGAAGCTAAACTACATGTTGATTCTGGGCTTCGTTCTGCTCTCCAGGGTCACATTCATTCTGCGCTGTAACAACTCAGGCTGGAACAACCTCATTTTACTGATTTATATGCTAGTGGCATACAGTTTCGACAACCCCTCTTACTTTCTTTGCACGTCTTCCCTGGTGTGTGTGTCCCTGGGGCCCGGTGGGAAGCGAAGCATGACAATTACAACGGTCAACGCTCCGCCGAAAACTGTGCTCTCCGTTTCAGCCGTTGGCTTTGTCTTGGTGCTTGTCTTTAGCAAACCCTCCGGGGTCTCATAATAATGTCACCAAGGTGCCAAAATCTCAGCACTCATCCCTAAATTTATAGTCTGGAGCCGTATGACCTGATTCTGCCTCCTGACTGTACAAATACTACAGAATGAACAAATAAAACAGAAGGAAGATGACTGAAGAAGGTTTTTTGTCCAATCTGTTTGACGTGTTTATGGCCTGTAGGCCATACTGGATACATAACAGGGAGATTAAAGGGAGATGCTTGGGTAGGTCTGCAGCTGGTACTTAAAAGAATGTCATATTGTCTCTAATCTGTCATAATGTCTCTATTATCTATTGGGTTGTTTGAGCACGATTTAAGGAAACCATTTAACACACATTTAAACAGCTATGCAGTCTGTAAAATCTGTTGACAACACCTGATCTGAAGGAACGATGCAGCATGAAAACATTTAAAGGAAAAGTCCGGTCAGCAAGGAATGATCAATAGATCATAATTTATACCTAAAACTAATACGTTCCCGATGATTTTAAGGAATTTAGCATTAATCAGTAAAAAATTAAAAACTATATTTTTCGTCACAATCACTGAGTCTGGGAGCGGCCATTTTGGCGAAATATAGTAACACCTCACTCCTGCCATCTTCCAGCAGTGACGTCACGGTGCGGTTAGCCTAGCGCAATTCTCCCCGCTTTACAAGCAAAATCAATGGCAACTACTAGACACATCTGCAATCAACAACAATTATTGAAGATTTCCAGACCACTTCACCATTGAAATTCACCAGAGCTATAGTGAAACAGACAATGCCCACGTGCATGGCAGCTGGATGTTGGAATACATCAGGTAAAAGTGAAAAAAAATTGTTATTTCACCTTTCCGATGAGTGAGAATTTAAACAGGGTTAAAAAAATGTCAATAACTCCACCAGTCTCCATGGAAACCACCGTCAGTGAGTGTCGTCCATTTCCATTGATGTGACTTTTCATCTGAATCATCAGTCAGATTTTCATTGAGTTTGTTATTATTGCAAACACAGAGGAAGAGGAGATGATCAAGTTAAGCTTTGGTGCTATTTATTTATTGGTGAAAACACTGTTTACTGAATGCATTTGGAGTTCAATTCAATAGTAATGAAAGTCTGCTCATTATTAATGTACTAAACTATCTGATCACTATTTATACAAACAAGTCAAGAAGCAGACGGCCAATTATCAAACAACACTGTTTCCTGAGTGATGGTTAGGAGGGGGGCAGATCTTCTTGTCTCTAAAGATGATACTGACT